AAACAAGATAACAATACAAAAAAAACAAACAAACAAACAAACAAAAAATAAAACAAAAACCAAAACTAATCCCAAAAAGGGGAGATTACCCACCTTTTACATCCTCTACTTAACAAAATAAATATGTATTTATTGTAGGTTCGTTCTTGAACTGTTTGACTAACTTTGCGAAAAAGATCACTAAACCTTTTGAATATTTTGAGAAAAAAATCCATTTCTCAAGTTGGAAATTATAAGTTATTAATGTTGTGCATAACTAAATAAGCACGTGCATCATGCGTTAAACTCTCGCCATTTTCCAAATACTAATATGCGAAATTTTAAAATTAAAATAAATAATGTGTTGTTAGCAAAAAAAAAATTATAAATAAACAAATTTATGAACTAAATTGTATATTGTGTGTAACTATGTTTACTAATATTCAGGATTTACATATACAAATGTATACTTCTTTTTCAATAAATATTACACGAAATATTTCAATATTAAGCTATATGTAAATTTGAAATCTAAGATATTTTTTTAAAATATTTCATTCTAAGAATATAACTGAATTACAGAATTAAGTGTGCATTGATTACGTTGGTGTCGGAAGCAAATTGAAAGCGTGGGGCGAGGGGGGGGGGGGGTGCTAATTGAAAAAGAAAGAAAAATTTAAATCTAAAAAATATTGACAAGAAAAAAAAAATTTCATTGTCCAATCTAGTAGTCCAAACCCGAAAAGCCTGTTGGGGGAGGGGGGGGGGGATTCCAATATCTTTTTTTTAATTACTACCACTTACCCGTCTTTTTTTACTACACTGTAACGCGCCTGTTGAAAGCAGGGGGAAACTAACCTAATTTCACATTGTTCGATGCCTATATTATGTCTATCTTTGCAAAAAGAGGGGGTAAGCATTCCTTACGCCCCTCCCATGTACCAACGCATATAAAATAAATCACAGTTGTGAAAACCAAGTCATAAATATGTGTTTTATGCTGTTGAATTTTGAACCGGTTTCATGATCAAAATTCCACGACCCGGTTCCGTTTTCAACGGACTAGGGTCTAAATTCAACACCTTTGGTCTAACTATTCAACGCTGAAAAATGACCCCCGGGTCAATTTTCAACCCGGGTCAAAATTCAACGTTACATAGGTCTTACTGTCCGGGTATTTGTTTTTGTTATTTTGACAAAATTTTATAGGCCCGCTTATTTTATGCTTATATAATCAGCATTTAAAGCGTGTTTAATATCGATGGTCGGCGATTTTAACAAAAAGCATTGTCATTGAAGTTTCCATTGGTATTACATGTAGGCTATACTGAAATGTAATTTCACAAATTTACCTACAGAGAATGAGAAATTTATGACAATATGTATCAAAGCACTTTAATGAAGACACCGCCAAAATAATGACGTTGGGCGGTAATGTGGAGCCCCAAATTATCAAGGAACATTATGTTGGGCGGAATTTGACTACTGTAAATAGTGAAAAGAGATACTAAGGGTGAAAAAAAAATACGTAAGGGAAAAGGATTTATCTCTAGGTAAAGGGGGTTGAGGTTGATTTGGCTGTTTAATCCAAAAGAAGAGAATATACTACTAAAATAAATACGAATTGAAAAGACAGGAGCAGAATGTTATAGGCCTATAGCAAGTGAATACCGCTATTAAACAGTTCGACCAGTTACTCCTAATAGGTTTGTGATTGGGATTGTGAAGTTGTCTATCGATAGAATTAACCCTACAATCTTTTATACTCTATTTGAGATAACTTTGTATAACTTTGTAACTTTAATGGATTATATTAGAGGCGCTGTTTCCAGAACAAATTCACAAGCACTACGGGCTACGTTTTGACGTTGTCAGTGTTGCGACCACAACTGATTTGTTAACTTCCTTTACCTGAGAGAAAAATGTCATTTACAGAGATATTTCATTGATATTTTTAGACATTGTTCAAGAACTGTTATTTAAGATGTATGCCGATTTTAGCTGTATAGTTTAAGTGAAACAAATTAAATGATATTGAAAATGTTCCTGTTTTTTGGAACAACCTTCGTACATGTACTTTTAATACTCTCCTTTATCTTATATTCATTTGCTATTTTTTTTTGTATAGTATTAGATCCTTTCACTGGTTACATGTACATATACCTTTATCCAGGTATACTTGTACCTAGTGTATCATCCGAGGCTTGCTGGAGAAATGAAAGTGTCACACCTTGTACTTGCTTGCCAAGTAAATATTCTTCTTTTTGGGAAAGGTACTTTATTTTGATACTCGTGGGATAATAATTTTTTTTCTGGAAAGACACTATAATTACAGCACGCTTGATCGTTTTAACATATATGTATTTATGTATATGTTAGAGATTTAAGAGCTTATCAATTGATGATTTCAAACTTTACTTACTGAGAAGAGAACACAAATTTTTGCTTTGATTTACCATAAAAATGTCATAATATAAACAATAAATAGGTTTTGAATGAGAGAAAACAAAGGGGGTCAAATTCAGTTAATTTTAAAACAGTGCAATTGGAATACTTTATTTTTAAAATAAATCAACATCACTTCAAGTTCAACCTGTTTGCTTCCCATCCATAAATGGGTATTTCATATCAATGTTTAACTTTTAATAATTGTATCTCAAACAGTGGAAAGCACGTTCAAGAAGAAAACAATTTAGAACATTTTAGAAATTACTATGAACTTATAATCTAAATGGCTTTAAATGAAAATAACCAGGAAGAGAAACCCACAATTTACACTAACACCATGTGTGTATAACGTGCACACCATTTTCAAAAAAGACACATTGACACATTACACCTAAACTGGACATAGGAGTTTAAATGTTAAAATACGGAAAAACTGCTTATTATCAATGCATATAAAAATAAGGAAAACCATTTTATCTTTTTTGTGTGATATCGTATTATGTGAATAAAAGCAGGACAATGTGTTTGCATAAAAATATGGATTTGATTAACCCAGGGCCCCATTTGTTATTCAATTTATTGCACATGTTGTAAACGTTCACTTTTAAAACCACCATATATTGAAAATTACACTAAAATGAAAAGAATTGAAATTTATTTCTGACCTTTATTTACGCAGTAATTTTATCAGATGTCCCGGGACTTTGGAGTTGGTTTGACGCACAAAAGATATGTATAACACAAAATAGTAGCTTACTAGCAAAATTTCACAAGCAAGTTAATTTCACAGAGAGAACTTATGTTTGGACAGGCTATTATAGACGTACCTCAGTTTGGATAAAAATATTGGTGGGTAAAATTATTGCAGGAATTCAAATACAAATTAAAAGCAATAGTTCAAATCCTTTGCAAGATAGAAAAAAAGATAATTTTCTGCATGATGTGAAATTTCACGACCATGAATGTTTAAACGAATTGTGATGAACAAAACGATCTATTTATTAAAAAGTTTTTATCTAAAATGCATTATTAACATGCACCAATCAATGATTTTAAATATTATATGTTTTTTTAAATATATTATATATATATTTTTTGTTTTGCTAATAATTTCTTTTTTTATTTCCGGCGATTGTGTGTCCTTTGTTCATCATATGTTCTTTTTTCATGGAAGTCTTACAAGTACAGACTTTTCATTACCATGCATTCTTTATCAATGTACTCAAGTGATGCTGGGCGATGTTTATAAAGAATACAAAGGGTGATCTAAAAGTTCGTGAACAACAAGTATTTCTATAATTACAGCACCACAATTCAGATAAGTTGAAATTTGGCACAATCATAGTTATACATGTAAATAATAGATGTTATCTAAATATTTCTATCTTTATAACATATCATAGTGTGAAAATAACTTCGATATGTAGATGCCTTGTGAGAAATAAAAAAAGTTGACCAAAACGTGCTAAAGCAAGGTAGGGCTGTAAAGTTGCACGCATAATTCTGAAATTACTTTGCAGTAGCATAAAAAAATTCATATAAGAATTTGTACAAAGTACGTTACAGTTAAGTGTTTTAAAAGCAAACAAACAGTCTGACACATCTGTTTTAAAGAAATATATATTTTAAAGATGTGTTATGGTAATTTAGCGACAAAACTCCTCAATCGTCAACATACTATGCCTGGCCACAATACAGTAAGCAAAATGGCTGCCATTAAAATGAATGACGTCACACACATTGGAAGTTCCATAGATTTAATTATTTTGACTATCGAAACATGCGTAAATCGTAATGGCTACAAGGGGAAGACCTTTCAATCGAGAAGATCAGACAGTAATAAAAATGAATGGGAGTGGTTTAGGTAGCTGAATAATACAAACTTTATCGAAAAAAGTCAAAATTTCATACAAAAGGCCGTTAAACGAAATGCTTAAAGTGGATCCATAGAAAATAGGAAAGATCAGAAAAAAAATTGGTTGGTTGAAAGAGATCTTCTTGTCAAGGTTGATAAAGAAAAATCGCAGGCAGACGACAAATTTAACTCATAAACTTAACCAAAAAAATTACAGAAAGTGTCCAATAGAACTGTAAGAGGGAGCCCTAACCAAAAAAAGAACTATAGTTAACTATAGTATATCAAAGTTTCAAATGTTTCACTAAAGTTTTTCAAAGTGTCAAAGTTTTCGCCAAAGTTTTGTCAAAATGTCAAGGTTTTTAATAAAGTTTTCAAACTGTCAAAGTTTTCAATAAAGTTTTTCAAAGTGTCTCAGTTTTTGCAAAGTTTTTCAAAATGTCATAGTTTTCAACAAAATTTTTCAAAGTGTTTAATCTTTTGATAAATTTTGTCAAAGTGTCAAAGTTTTTGATCAAGAATTTCAAAGTTATTGCAGAAAAAATATACATAACCCGCTTATAATGTATTTTTTCTGCAACAGCTGTTTCAATTAATTCCAGTAATAACAAGCAAAGGAAGTATTTTATTGTTTAAATGAAATCAAGTCGTACATGTACCCTACATTACAAAATATGAATTCATAATAAATCAAAAATGCGATTTCCTTTCAGGTTGTTACACAGACAATGTTGTTGAAACATTTTCTGTTGCAAAGTACAGCTTAAAAAGAATGTTTAATTCAGCTGGATTTTGTCAGGAAATATGCTTCTCTCTTAATATATCCATATTTGCCATAAAGGTAAAAATATGTAACGTTTAAAATTTTTGACATCAGTATGACCTTCTTAGATATTTTTTTTAAAATGAATGCTTCAATGATATTTTATTTCGGTTCTTTTTTTTTTTTGATATACGGGAATATTATTTATTAAATATTAAATTGACGTTTCTCTTTGATTTTGTTTTATGTATATAATCTAGGACAACTTATGCAGTTGCTTGAAGCATCTTCCCGAAGAAGGCCAAGTTTTGCCACTCTTTTGTAATGCCTCGTGTTATGAACCTGGAGCACGTATTGCAGAACCTTATTTTGAGGAATGTGGAGGCAACGGGACTTACTCTGTATTCATATCAGGTAGCGGTGATTAAATTAAGTCAATATTAAAAAAAAATGAAATTGTACATGTATCTGTTATTTTTCAGATTTATTTGAAGTTTTACATTTGAATGCATTTCTCATAATACAATGCGAGAAAAATTACCACAAATTCTTAGTGAGAGAGCATATTATTTTAGGCATGAATAATCATAGATCATTTTTCGAATTGTTTTAAATTTAAAAGGAAAGAGAGACGAAAGAAAACCACCTTTCCCTGGAATCTTCTGTGTTTCTATTCAGTGTTCAGCAACACAAAATTCATTTCACTTTGAGGAAGATTGCTCTAAAGCTTACCATCCAGTTTGTCAGTTAAATGGTAGTAAGTTTCACGGATGAAACACTTAAAATAGCAAAACATGTATTTGAGAATAAATGCAACTACATAAAACAGTAAGATTACTGTAAACGTCTTTTTTTTCCACGGGGTCCGCAGATTTCCGCAGAATCTCGATTTTTGTTCAATCCGCGGATTGAAAATTACGCGGATTTCTTAGAATGTCACTTTATGCCCTGTGCATGCATTTATGTAAAGTGCACTTGGTCAAATTTCCGCTTGTGTCCGATCCCGTTGACTTTTGTCAATAAAACATGTTCAAAACAAAATTTCCGCGGAAAATTTGTGACTGCGTACATAGCATAAATTAATACCACGCAGAAAAAAAATGGGTCATTATAACAATAATTTTTCATCCATAAAAACAGTTTTATCGACTGCGTAATGGTGGCATAATGTTAGCTTAATGGTAGCTTAATATAGGTTGGACATTAAGCACCTATAAGTTTGGCTTAATGGTAGCTATATGGTTTCTTAATTAAATGTGGTCTTAAAGCTAACATTAAGCACCTTTAACACACCATTAAGCTACATTTGAACACCCATTATGGACTTTTAAACGGCTTAATGGTCACTTAATGGTGGTGTAAATATTACTATGTAGCAACCATTAAACCATCAATACGGACTTATAAGCCGCCATTAAGGCAAGATTAAAACACGTGTTACATCTTGTGAAAAATTAATGGAATTTGATGTAAACGTGATACGTCTACCTTAATGAAAGGTCAATATCTTGCAAATTGCGTTGCGTTTCTTTTCTTCTTTTTTTTTTCTTTTTTTTTTTTTTTTGGTTAAGTAGTGTTCCATTAGGGTAAACATATATGTGATAAGATGCATGCAAAAAGTAAGGGAAAATTTGGACATTTATTAATTTTTTATCAATTTACCTAAGTCCATGTGTCACTACATTTTTTAAATTCTTTTGCATTCTGTTACATTAATACATTTCAGTGAACTTATGAAAACTGTAAAAGTCATTCTCACAAATCATGTCGATTTTACACTGTTTTTTTATTTGGTAAAATGATTAAGAAAACAAATTTTAAAAAAGAGATACGTCCTGAACGGGCAAACATTTTTCAGCTCACGAGTCAAAGGCTTGAGTGAGCTTTTCTGATCAAAATGTGTCCATTGTCTGTCGTCTGTGTTATCTATAGGGTTATTATTGTCATTGTCGTCACTGATCCAATTTCAACCAAACTTGCCACAAAGTATTCCTAAGTGAAGGGGATTCAAGTTTGTTCAAATGAAGGGCCACTCCTTCTTAGCGGGGGATAATTATAAAATATTGATAATTTAATGGTACATATATCTCTAAAAAATTCTTTCAAGAACCAGTGGGCCAGAAAAGATTAAACTAATTTGGAAGTCTGCTTGCATGTATGTAGTAAAGATTTAAGCTTGTTCATATCGTGACCCCTGACAGTAGGGTGGGGGGCAACAATTGGGTATCAAAGTTTACCAAAGAAATACATGGGAAACATGTTTAGGATTCTTCTTCTCAAAAAGAACAGAGGAAGGAAAGATGAATCTCATGTAGAAGCATTCTCTGGAAGTGATAATTCAATTTTGTTCAAATCATGACCTCGGGGGTAGGGTAAGGCCTCAATGGAGTATCAAGGTTTAACATGGGAATATATAGGAAACATCTTCTTCTCAAAAAACATTGCATAGAAATTGATAGGAAAAATATATGCAGTGTATACAAAAATATAAACAATACAAAGTATCAACACGTTTCAGAAAATGCCATTTTCCTAAACTCTTGTTTGAAAATAAGTTGAATTGTTGCAGACTTAATATAATCATTCAAGGCAAAATGGACTCTAGACCATATGTTTGTGACCTGATCCTTTTTCACTTAACTTGAAGATCAGGATCGAAGACCGTAAACTGAAAATAGGTGTAAATCAAACTTTGAAATACGTGTAATTTTTTTTAAATAAATGTTTATAATGAAACTAAACTTTCAACACATGTATATATAGGTTGATTAAATAAATATTAACTTTTTGGAATATGTTTGAAACAGAACTCAAAATCTCTAAAATAAAATTTTGACTGAGGTATTTCTACCGATTCTTCTGGTAAGACACTATAAATCAATGTCCTGTGTCATAGTAGGTGCTCACTCGAAAAAGGTCACTCACTTCTCATTGCCCTAGGCATCCTGTACAAGACAAAAATTGCAGCTCTTCTCCACCAAACAGTGTCGTCTCGATATGTGAAAAAAATCCTCGATAGGCGGTAAACAACAAACACATTTTTAAAGTATGTTCTCAGTTTATGGTTTTAAGGTCAGTTATATTAACATTATTTCCACTATTGCTTTTCATTAGCAGAAGCAAATGTCTCTGAGAGCTGGCGGAAGTCAATGCAAATTTGTAAGTAAATGGCTTCACCATCTTATTTAATGGGAGATGTATATCTGGATGATATCAACAGGACATGTGATGCTATAGGGAGAGAACTGACGGAAAAATCATGACTTGGTTTAGCGAATGAAGTATACGTTGGATATGATCGAGGTAAGTTAAAAATGATCTTTAAATAAGCTGTAAATAAATAATATACTGTTTATTCTTATGAAATATTGATCATTGTACGTTATAGGCTATACAAGGGATACGAGAAGGTCACAGAATATCTTTTCTGAATTTTTTTTTTATTTCTATGTAAATTTTGATCAATTAAAAATATTTCAGAAAATACAAAGTACAAAGCTTGCTGATTTCCAAATTCATATATTTCGTACACTAATATCAGATGCTTACTTGGTAAAAAAAAAAAAAAAAAAAAAAAAAAAAACTCAGATTGGCAAGCTTGTGATCTAGGTTTCCCAAATAAATATGTGTCTTAGATTTGACAAAATGTCATCAGCACTGAGGAAACGTCAAACAAGGGGTTGAATTCAGCAGTTAACATAATTTTTATAATTATGATATAATTATAATAATCATTTTAAATATTTTACAAAGTATTCCTCATAAAAAAGTAAAGTTAATTAAAGCCCTACTAAGGCAGATGGTGATATTTCTATAATAGTGCATTTTTGGATAATAGAAAGTAAAACAATAAAAAAATCAATAAGCCCCATTTATGTTTCACAGACTTTAACAAAGTAGAATCTTCAGCACGAATTTGAGAATTTGAAAAAGGGTAACTGATATACATGTATGAAGCATAATTGTTTAATTGATTGATTGTGAGGTATATATAACACGATAAGAGTGTCTCATTTTTCCCTTACTCTTTTACTAAAAAGGGGATCTATAAGCAAATCTTCAGTTTAGTTAATCACGCAATACCAAAAAAGAAAATAGATAATGTCTCTCAAATGAAGTTTACAACTACGGATTGAAGAGCTTTTAATAAAGACAGGTATGTCATATGTGATCATGATTTCATTAAGAAGGCATATTCGTGCACTGGATTTCTTACAATGGATTGCCAAAATTATTCAGGAAGGTGGTTTTAAGTGTAAGGAAAGCTGGATGTTTAGATTTTGACATCATATAACCTTGGGTTTTAGTTAGTTATAGGTGTATGGTACAGGTAGGCATACATTAACGGATTCCTGATATAGAATGGTATTGTCTATATCGAGAGTACGCATGTATATCCCGCGTATCAGACAGGAAAGGCCAACGTAAATTCCGAACATGTATATTTTGTATGACAAACGAAATTATTATAGAACAGTCCATTTGTTTGTTTAGAATGTCCGACCGTGAAACAGAGCATGCGTTGTTACCTGGAATAAGCACTAACGTACATATGTAGGAACTGGCGTTTGAGAGAGCTATCAATGAATTATCGTTTTATATTTGCCATGGTATTTCCTGATCTGATAGTATAAATGAAATTGATTTTAGAGAGGGGTCGGAGTTCGTAGTTGGATTCGGAGTTGGATTCGTAGACTGTTATTTTGATTTGCACGTGTGTCTGTACCATTTACTGATAATTTGATCCGATATCTGTGAAAGATTGAGTTACTCCTACACTTGCAACCTTACGCAGATCCTAAGAGGTCGCAGCTACATCCCGAAAAGGGAGGAGAATGCTACTTTAATATTACAACTACTGTACTTTGTCTTACTAAGTCACGGTTAATTAACTTATAATTATGGTTAGTCCGTATTAATTCAGTTCCAGGTAATTCTTGTCAAGCCAGATTGAATATATTTTTATTCTTGAAAAGAAAATCCCATAATAAACGGAAAAAATGTGCTATTTTCATTTATACATTTGTCAGGTTTTATAAGCAGAGAAAAAGAAGAGTATCTTTTTGTTGAATGCCATATATGCATGTACGATAATAAAACATTTGAGGGATGTTCGTTCCATGATTGTAATACCAAACGCAATAGTGTGGTTTTGTGCGTGCAGGTGATTTTTTTTTTTACTTTGCTGATTGACGACCTGTTAGATGAAATAATGTTTAATATGTAATTACATACATAAATTATATACAGCTAAAGTCAATAAAAAATATATATCTGATCCTGTCTTATTTATTTATTTTGGAACAGATGAACCAAGATAAAGCTGGGAAAACATCATCGCTTATAACTGATATTTTTCAACCAACCACCTCTGTCTTTAGTCCTAAAACCCACAAAACATCCATGAATTCAACGGTATCGTCAAGAATTGTAGCAACAGATCTAGAAGCAGCAACATTGACAATCACAAGAACAACAGAAAAAATACATGTCGGAAAAGAAAAAACAAATAGTAGTAAGATAGTTTTTAAAATAATAGCAATATATTCTATATTTTCCTTCTTGTGTAAAAATATCTAGATTCAAATATATAGAATGAAAATAAATTACAAAATTGAAACTTTTGTTTCAAGGGAATGGAAAAATGGTAATTGTATCCATCGTCGTTGCTGTTGTTGCTGGAGGTGTTTCCTTTGCTCTGCTTTTGTCTTACTTGTGGTAAGTAGTAAAAAAAAAGAAAGCATTCTGGGAGTATTGCATAAGCAAGGTTCCCATTTCTCTTTAGGATGCCATTTAATTAAAAATAACTTGTAAATAACAAGGGTCCCTATAATGTGAACATTTTTATAAATACTTGTTTATAAATGAAATGTCTTGGAATTAGGTTGATCTGTCTTACTAAGAGAGACATCGTCTACGATTGTCATTAGACATACATGTTCACCCATGCTTTGGTCAAAACAGTAATCTAACAGTATATAAGGAAAAGCCTTGAACACAGTTAGAATGCCTCATATACACTTGAAAAGTAGACAAAAAACAGAATTAGAATTTCTCCGGATCAATTTTAGAGAATTCAAAAGAATTTGGATTGAAAATACCTACCAAAACAAACCTTTGAGATATTTTGTCTGATTCAACGTCTATTCTCGCTTTATATTTTTAGGTCACCTGAGTAAACTCAGGTGACCTATTGCTATCTGTTTTCGTCCGTCGTCGTGCGTCGTGCGTTGTGCGTCGTGCGTTAACATTTGAACATTTTCAGCTTCTTCTCTGCAACCACTGAACCAATTTCAACCAAATTTGGCACAAAGCATATATGGGTAAAGCAGAACAAAAATTGTGAATTTCATGATCTCTGCCCCCTGGGGCCTGAGAGGGGGCGGGGCCAAAACCACTAAAATGAATGCAATCTTTAAAAATCTTCTTCTTTACTCCTGGACATCAAGCAGTCAAACTCTTTGCATGATTGTAACCAGCAATGAGTCCTCTACCAAAATTGTGAAATTCATGGCCCTAAGGTCAGGGGTTCTAGTGCTAGGGCGGGGCTAAATAAGTAGGTAGTGAAAATGCATTATTTCTTTGAAAATCTTCTTCTCTGCTCCTGGGTATTAAATAAACTAACTAAGTACATAGTTATGATGAGCAAGTGTGCCTCTACCAAAATTATGAATTTTATGGCCCAAGGGTCAGGGGTTCTTGTTTTATGGTGGGGCTCTATTGATTATATAGTGAAATGCATGATTTCTTTGAACCTCTTATCCTTTGCTCCTGGTTAATATGCTAATGATCTAATTACATATTTAAGGCCAGGATTTATTTTATTTTCAGTTTTACAAACTCTCCGCTCAAGGTTTTGAATTTTCAGAAAAAAATAAAACAATTTATTTCTTTCCAATGTCAAATTTGAGTCGGGATCGAGATTTCAAATTTACGAACTCGCACTTCCGGTTTTACGATGAAACGGCGGGTAAATAAAGCTAGATCTGAGAAGATAGCTTGGTTTAGTGTAAAATTCATCGATAAGAGTGCCATTCAAAACGTTTCACCTGTTCAAAGGACAAATAAAATGCTGAGGACATTGTTGCACAATGACATGCTGGTGAGATAATTGTGTTTCAAAAGTTACTGTCTGTAAATTATTTTCCTCCCACAGGTTTTAAACTGCCCGTGGTAGCTATTGCATATTGCCAACGACATTGTTTAGGTCTCTGTTATAGCTTGCAGTCTTAGCATCATTCTTCAGAAAAGGGTTGCTTATGCATGATGTAATGAATAAAACTATGGGAGAAAATAAGTCCATTTGATGAGGAAGAAATAAACAATAACCTGAAGAAATAAAAAAAAATCAACTATTAAAAGGCAAGAATATACAAATATATACAGGCTTGTAGTATCATTTGTATCAGCTGGAAAAATTATTTTACACTCAATTGAAAAAATGTTCACCCTACTCCCCAATACTCTCTGTCTGTTTTATGATAGGAATTTTAATTTTAGGCATCAGGTAAATTTTAGAACAATGTCCACACATTCACCTAACACATATTAAAAAAATGAAGATATATTGAAAGACTTTTAAAGAATTGATTTTTTAAAATATGTTTTGATCAACATCACAAAATTTATATAACTGGCCAAAACTGGCAGATGATGAAATAAGCAATTAAATGTTCTACTTTCCTATCTGTAAGCATGATGTGTCCATGGTAAGGAGCCTATAAGAATAGCATAAAAAAGAATGTACAAATGTTAATAATTGATTTATCAAAAAAAAAATATCTCCATCTCCTTTGGGACTTTTTTTATTCTCATGTTCATAACTAAACATAAACATAAAAAAAAATGCTGGCCTTATAATGAAGAAAGGGGCCTCTTTCAATATATATAATTTCAGGGCCGCTGGGTCAGGGGTACCAGGTAAAATTTTTGACTAAAAATAAATTAATGCTTTAAAATCTGCCCTTTGATAAGCAATGGTGCTTCTTTCAAAATTTGTGAATTTCATGGCTCTTTGATTAAAATACGAACCAAATACAATCGCTGGGAAGTTGTTACCTGATACTCAGGTGACCTATAAGGCCCGTGGCCTCTTGTTTGACATTTGGAACTAAAATGTACTGAGTTGGAGTTTTCTCCTTTTTTTAAATGCTATATTTTGACAATACACAGATCACATTCTGTCGTTTAACCACGTATGTAGGGTATTTTTAACATTTTTATGATATAATATTATATTTAGTTTGTCACAATAAAGCTACCCAGCAAGTTACAAACATGACAATACCATTTAGATCATTTTAAAGTTCTTGTTAAAAAAATATATAAAAAATATGCACGTTGATCCTATAAATATTTTCAGCGATGTCACGTTCTACTATAGTATTAATCAACATTCCATAACATTCCAGTTGTATTATTTCTGTTATCTCAGACTCATTTTTATTCCTCGTGTTTTTTTCCCTTCAGTTATCTTCGGAAGAAAAGACATGAACAGAGAAAATGCAGCAACAAGGATTCCAATATTACAGAAAATACTAACAACACTTACTGTTTCATAGAAATTCAAGGACTTAGAGAAAACACGTATGAGCAACTTGGTGATCAAAGTTGATTATACACTCAGATAAAAAAAATTACATTTACTTACCTTAACAAAGGAATAAAATCCGAGTATGCTTCATATGTTAATCCTTTACGAGTAACCAACTCTTAATTCTTAAATCTTAATTCTACTAGGGTAATTGTTCTAAGAATTTTCGATAAACAGAAATCATCTATATTATTTTGAAACATTTAGCATACACTCTGTAATATACAAATACAAATTCAATACAATTTGCAATTAAGGAATAACAAATTATTTTTTTGTATTTCAAACAATTAAGAAAACTTTATATTCATATACAAGGCGTTCTTTTGTATGTTCTAACTTACATTGTCTTATTACACAGACTATTTATGATCATTTTTTTCTAGCGCGTTTAAATATATGCGAAGTCAACCGTGTTATAGAATCACGTAAATAAAACTATTGATACAATATCCATAATTGCATGCATTTGTTGGTTTTTTAGTAAATTAAAATTCATTTAGTTCATTACATTGTACTCTCTGTTAAAATAACTACATGTATATAGTGGGTATTTGCAAATTTGAAATTGATTACGCAGCCATTAATTAATCAATGTTTCGAATATGAACGAGAGCGCGAATACCATTTGTTATTTTCATTTCCCAATATCACAAAAATGTATCAGATCTCACTACAATGTCAAACAATTTAACATTTTCAAACTTTATTTGAATTTTTTCAGAAGGATTACTCTTATTTATCCAGTCTGTAATTTATTTTTTTTACATTTTTCAGTATTATGTTTCAATTTACCAATAATGATATTTTTTCCACGTTAAATGCAATACTTTTATTCCTTGTTTTGTAAATATGTTACTTAGTCCAAAGAGATAAAACTGTTTTTCACAACAATTGAAAACATGCAGTTTTTATTTTTTCATTTCAAATATCAAATTCTTAATTTATTTTTTTAATAACTACTGTAACAGGTAGAATCTTATGTAAACTTTAAAATTATAACCAGGAATCATTGAGTCCTTTGTTGTTTTTTAACAGAATTTAAAGAATCTTTTACTCAAATTTAATTTTATATGAAGATATTTCCGCATTTCACGTGCATATATCTTTTCAAACTTTTTTTTTATTATTTTAACAATTGCAGTAATATATTTTGCACATTTTTTTTTTCATATTCTATTTCTTAGAAATGAAAATTAAAATTTTTTATACAGTGAAACTTCTCCAAACCGGCCCCCCTGTAAACTGGTTCTCCCTGAACATCGGCGAAATTTATTAGTCCCGGCAAAGTTCTTAACATTTCTTTACACATAAACTCTCATAAAACCGGCCACCCCTGAAAACCAGACACCGGCCACTTTTCCAAGAACAAAAGTTAAGAAACATAGGAAATTTCCCCTCATCATACCGGCCACTTTTTGATTGCAACAAATTAATTGTCATTGGCCGGAGGGGTAAAAAGGACCGACCGGAGGTGAGAAAAATAGCCTACCCACCAGAAGTCAGAGGTGTGAAAAACTGAATATGGCTTCATAGAGTTTTCTATTGTTTAACAGGTCGAGACCACTAGATTTTCTGACGTCAGAATAAATTTGCATGTAAATTAGCTAATATGTTTACTTTATCTACTGCTGAATGAGCCGCAATGCATTGTGGGCTACTAGAAGTACCTAGCTGTGTTGAAAATTAAAGAGAACTTGAATTGTCCCTTGGAAACTTATCTTCAATTCTTTTTTGAAATTTGTGAAAGAAATATTCAAAATGATGCATAATCTTTCATTTTTATGCTCACATTTACAAAATTTGCTTTATGAAGCCTTATATCAACTTATAATACATCGGCCTAGTATACCTTTGTTCAAAGGGACGTAATCGTGTTATCGTGTCGATAAAACATTGAGTTTTTTTTCACGTGATATACGTGTAAATAGCTTTCGCGGGTAGTATATAGGTCCTTGTTTTTAATTAGACAACAGGAGAAAGTGTGCAATTATTATTTAACCCCTCAATATTATCAGAAAGTGTTTTATGTATATGCAAAAGTCAAAGCGTTTGTACGATATTCGAAGCAACTGTTAATCATCTAAAACAACTCCAATATTAAATGTGAGCATGGAGCAGT